AGCATACACACTGTTTACATCACAACTTAATTTGTTTACTGTTTGGCCATACTTGTGTCCATCACATGTCCACACCCTGTGTCCACTGTGTTTGACTAGTTGTCACTGGTCACCTGTGTGAGGACATATCAAACACTTTTCTTTGCTAAGTCCGGGTTATTAAATCCTTGTTAACTGGTCACCCAGTGTTCCGGTATAGATGAGTCTTTAACTGAACAGAATTATGTGAAGAGAGAAGAATTATTCAAAAATCCCACTTTCTCTCTCTTCACTAGGATGTAGTATATCCAGAGGTCACTCCTAAGCAGCCAATGTCCACCTGATCAAGGATACTTGCTGTACTGACAGGTTATAAAAGTCATCAGCTACCACTACGTATGTTATCCTACTTGTCACCAGTAGCAAACAGAATGTCAATACAAATATCCCAGTGTCTCTAATATTTTATTCTATCCTCTCTATAAACCTGTCAGCATCATCAAATAAATCGGTCCTATGTGAAGTCACCAGACCTTATCCTGTTAGACAAATGAAAAAGATTCCCTAAAAAATCATCAGCGTCCTCTCTAGGTCCATCAGTCCTAAGAAGTAGTCTGAAGTCTGTGAAATTGACATCTCACCTCTCTGCCTATTAATAACCATAACTCACAGCTTCCTCAAAAGGGAAGGAAGTCCCAATGCCCTCTCTCCTAGCCTCTCCAATAGCTGTCACTCAGTAACCACAAGTCTATATGCCACCAAGGAGGTGTGGCATGTAAGACCAGCACAACAGGACATCAATGTCAGTTCAAAAATTAGGACTGAATTCCAATGGACTGATGTCCCTAATTACCTCTGATGGGTTGGGTGAAAGGACATTCAGTCAATGGTTAATTTTACATGGGTCACTGAACTTCATCAATGGTGAAGATCTGCTGTAAGATTTAACTGTATGGCTTCTTTCAATTTTTCCTGCTGTGAGGACTTTCAGATGTGAACTCAAACAACCATAAGCAGGGTTACTTACAAGGTATCAGTGCTCTGATCTACACCATTTTTTTTTCTTTTTGCCTTTTAAAGGATCTGATTACTGATAAAATTAATGTAAGAGATTCCAGAGATAATTGTGAACTGACAGCCTGACTTCAGTTTACAGAGTTTTACCTGAGGAATTAAGGTCTGGTGATAATTTTGAAGTGGGGTGACCTTTGGTGTCAAGCTTCAAATGTATAAGCTCCAGTAGGAAAATCTAATTTACAAATCAACCTTTAACTGGACCAATCAAAACTTTCATTTTAATATGGCAGAGAACTGGTAAGTGTCATCAGCTGTGGAATAATGGAAGAAATCCCCTCGTACAACGGACAAGTTAATTCTGCCCCGGTGCAAAGTGGCTGTCAGATCCCAGTCTTCTCTTCCAGCCAGAGTTTTCACCAAGAACTGTCTGGTTTAACAACACACCTCCATAAATTCTGATCCAGTTTTGACGGTTGACGCAATTACACACAGTTGTCAGTAATAATTAAAACAGTAGGAGCTGTTTGCAATACAAGTGTATGATAATCCGCATGTTGACAGAGCAAGGTAAATCCTCCCTTCTTATTGTCCTATTTTGAAGTCAGTCTGATAAGTTACACATAATCCCGTATTGTATTAAATAATATATGCTTCACTATATTGATAGAACAGGCATAACAAAACCCTCATACAGCAGCAGACCTGAATTCTGTTAATTAAAAATAGCAAAGATGAAGCAAATAAATTTCTCAACCTTTCCATAGAGCAGCAGCCCCTCCTTGAATTATCTCTCCGGTTCGGTCTTCAAATTGCCATATTTTTTCTTTTAATGGTATTTCAAGTAATTACAGATGAGTTAACAGCTGCTGATATTATATAGTTTAAGAACACCTGGTGTAGATATTTACTGTAATAATGTCTTCCAGCACATTACATGGAGCGAGTTAGCAACACCATCTCCTAAAACACACATACCAGTAACTCTGATTGAAATGTCACCTATTTTTGCAAAATCAATTTTTTTGTCTCAACATGTTTATCTGCTTGCATTCAAGGAGAGTCCCCCTAAAGATGGTGGGCAGAAGCTGGGTCAATAAATTCATTGTGAATTTGCCCATAGACATTGACAGTATGACAAAAATGCTTCATTAATTAGCAACCAGAGCCCAGTAACTCTTTAAAAAATAAAAATTAGCTGAAACTATATGCATTCATGTGGCCCCAGCCTCAGTTACGCATAACCTTTAGTCTAAAACACAACATTCTTCATGGTGCTATTTATTTTCCAGACAACATCATAATTAATGAAAAGGTTTGTCACAAATACCATAAATCATGCACTTGACACAGCACAATTCTCAAGGTTCATATTCATCAGCTTCTATTGAAATTTTAAAATTATTACACAGCTGGCATGTTTATAGTTATTTGAGGCTATAAAAAATAAGAACATAATTTGGGTATTTACTGGTTGTTATGGAAATAATGCCACAAAGAAACAAGTAGCTGACAATTACGGTATGGTAATGACTCAATCTTTTCAATAGGGATAAATTATCAATCTTTCAAATACATAACTTTGGAATCATTAAAAATAAGATATCTATGTAGATCTATGTAGTATCTGTAGTGCTTACTGGATAAAATAGAACTACAGGGAAGCCTGCTTGTCAATTTTGCTACCACTAAATGATAGAGAATGTTCCAAATTTAAGAATTTATGACTACAAAAATACAGTATGACTAAAATTCACAACTTTCCCTAATGAAAAGTTCCATTACCACATTAGGGTTATAATTAATATAATGTTAAATGCAGTAATGGAGTACAATAGACTTTTGCAGATACCAAACATATTTTCTCTGTGTTTCAAGTCACAGCCGGTGGACGACTTATAATAAAAAACTTCTCTGGGGTCATTGCACAAAATGTTGTGTAATATTAGGATAACTGTTTGATATTACTTTCTTAATTACTGTTGATATCTATCCAAATTGGAAGCTACTGTTACAGTTGTATAAAAAAAAATGGAGCAAGTCAAAATTATATGTATTACACAAAAAGTGTGCATATAAATGATATGATTCCGACAAATCACTTTTTTTGTAGAATGTATACTAGTATAGGTACAGTACAGTAGAGCAGCCTAATAACGTCATGTCTTGATGTCATTGTTATGTGTTAGTATTTCTGTGAACTTGGCATCAGTTAAAAAAGAGATTCCTTTAAGCACTGCTTCATGGTGTTTACACAGTAATGCGCAATAATCCTTCCACCCCCATCCCCCTCTCCAACCCTGAGTGGAAAGCAATATGACTCAAATTTCGATAAAAAATACTCTAAATAAATCAAATTAAATCCCACATACTACAACCATGATAGTGTTTATAACTGGAGAAATAAAAGCACCTTTTAGCGCAGCTAGAAATCAAAACCCCTCCTGACTCATCAAATGAAGTGAACCAAGGAACACGCTCTCCCTACATGTGTGTTTAAAAAAGAACTCACTGGTTTTATTACGCCCCCATTCCCTTAGTCACAGGAATATACTGTTTCACTGCTGACATTAGGGTGAAGAGTATTCTGTTGAAATTGAGGCAAATAAAGACCCTTTAGGATGTTTATCATAACAGAGATTGAAGTGATGGTTAAGGATTCCCTGAGGACTTGAACCTTTTTTTTTTTTTACTCCTATTTTTCATCCATGATAATGCTGTCACAGAAATGTGCAGCAATCTGATCGTATTGCAATTCCAAGGAAGATTTTTAGAGTGGATTCAGTTAACAAAACAAAAGGGCAAAAGGGTGGTTTATTCTCCCTAACCCCCCCCCCCCCCCACCCACCCAGAGGGTCTGCTAAGTATGCTGCGTGGATAGTTCCCCAACAGTGGGCAGATAGGGTGTGGATATACAATATATAACTCAGAGCAAGTGCTCTTCGGACCACGCCCTTGTGGTTATGACTGAGAGTTGAATTATAGTAATCAAGCATTGGAACATGGCCAGTGATTCACTGATAGTTGAATTACAGTAATCAAACATGGACTGGTGTCACTGGGTGAAATATGATATGTCAGGGCAGTATGCTAGCTACAGTAGCTCCTACATCTCAAACTTATAGACTAAGATCTATTCAAAAAGAGAACTTGTAACCAGCCTCAGTGGTATGTGTATTCCAAACACAGCAGCAACAGTTATATAGGCCCTTTTCACATTGAGCAGTACAGTTTTCTGTACCGCACCAATTTGACTAATCTTAACATATAATTATGCAATTTTTGCTATTGGGGGAGGGGGAGTGGGGGGGGGGTCATGTCCCTTTCACACATCTCAATACTTTTTGAGTTAACTAGCAGTGTTGAGATGTGGATATTGGGGGGGGGGGGGGGGGGGGGGTTGCTGAGGTGATCCTCTTGTGTAATAGCCAGGCTGTTAAAATGTCCTTATTTCAGATTGGACCACTCTATTTAGTGTACCACTGGATGTAGAAAGGGCCTAAAAGAATGTGATGTTCAGTGCACCAAGGTCTCAGTCAGTTGTGCTGGCCATCTCAACTAGCACAATCTTGACAATGGTGATGTCCACTAGGGACAGTATGCAGTCTGCGGATATGAGTTCATGCACTATATATAGTGTTACTGTGTATTTTTTTATTGGTACTATGAGCATTAATCAGGCTTGGAGCCAGGGAGGTGTTCGGGGAATTGAATGAACTGACCCTTTTGCCTGGAAAAGGTGCACTCTAGGCAAAAATTGACCTAGGTACATAAAAAGTTTCATGGCAAAAGTTTCTAAAATTTTAAGTTTATCATATGAACTCCTAACCAATAGTATATACTGTATCTTTCACTTACCCTTTTTTATGTCCCTTATGCAAAGCACTTTTAAAATGCTTCGGTCTATCAATATTTCTCCCTCCTTCTTTCCATCACCCTCTCTCTCCCCCCCCCTTTAACCCAGTGTCCCTCCACTATACTTTGTAGTTGTATAACCCCAGGCTTACCTTGACTGCCTTGGATCTTAATCCTCTACACAGTCTACACAGCATGTCTGCCTCATCTGGAAGAATAATATCACAATTGTACTTTGTTTACAATACAGAAAAATACAATCAGGGCCCCGTAACTCGAAAGCATCGCACATTGGGACTGAGCACAAGCGTCTCGATTCCATAACTCACCCATACTCGGCCCATATAATACAACTGTAGCCTCTGTGTGATATCCCTATTCGCAATACGCGATGCTTTCAAGTTACCGAGCCCAGATTTGCCAACATACCGATATGTCAAACATCTTATTAAAAAATAACATAACAACTGTAAACAATGATTCTATCCTAACAAATATATTAAGAAGAATACACGTAAATGTCACAGCACCTATATAATGAAAATCTTCCATATTGCCTGAATAGAAAAGCTCATGATTATATCTTAAATAAATACCCAGTAAATATTACTCGTATAATTTAACAGTGATATCAAAATACATAATGATTTGCATATCAAATACAGCCACAGCAGCACATGTGATAGCATCTTCAATATTACTATACTTATATATGTCTTAAAATACAGTGCTTCTGACAGGGGAAAAAAGACAAGTGTGTATAAAAACATTTTAATTTACAATATTTCATTTTGGTCTAGGTTTTGTAACTGTGAACTTCAGATGATGAACCTGGAACAGGGGCTGATCCAGAGATATTTCTGACAGTCTTCCAAATTGTCTTTGTAGATCCATCCTCCATTTTTGACCGTCTTCCAACACAAAAATTAGATGCCTGTCAGTGTAACTTGAAAAATTCCGACCATCTTCTGCATTATAAATCATCTGAAGGAATTATTGACTTAAAGAATAAATGAATGAATAAAACTAAAAATCTACATTAAATAATTAAATAGTAGATAAATTAATGAGAGAATAAATAAATAAATAAATAAATAAATAAATAAATAAATAAATAAATAAAAATGCATCCCTTCCTATAAATAAAGCATCTAATTCACTTTCCCTACACCCCTATAAACTCCCTGTAATTAAAATAAGCTCACATATTCCTACCCTTACGTAATAATTCACTGATGTATCCCGGGGACACTAATCTTCAATAACATGTTTCAAATTCCAAGCACAACAAAAGATCACATTTCTGCGATACCTGTCAAAGTTTATTTAATATTGTTACCACACTCAGAGCTTTATTGAACACGGAGCGCTTGAGAAGGTATCAAAATGTCTCATTCAAGTGCACCTCCCCTTGTCAGCTTGTGAGACTCTGAATTAATTGAATAAAAAAAATCTAGAATTTCTTTTGAATGGAAGTGAACAGTTGATTTTGGTTACAATACAGAATGTATTTCTCTATGGGTTACAGACTGCAAACAGTTGCACAGGTAGCTGGCTAATTGTTTCTTGTGTAAAGAGTGGCAAATGTAAACATCTGCTTATGAGACTCTCTCTCTTTCTCTCTCTCTCTCTCTCTCTCTCTCTCTCACATACACACACACACACACACACTCTCTCTCTCTCTCTCTCTAACACACAAACACACACAATCTCTCTTTTTCTCCTTCCCTTTCTCTCTCTCTCTCTCTCTCATACACATTTTTTGTCCAATTCTCTCTCTCTATCCATTTCTCTCTCTCTCTGTCAAACGTACTAGATCTCTCTCTCATACACACATACATACATACACACAGACATGCATGTACACTCTCTCTTTCTCTCTCTCTCTCTCTCAGTGTCTGTGTGTGTGTGTGTGTGTGTGTGTATTATCAGAGATGGAAAAATCCTAAAAATGTGAGCACAAAAGGCATATAGCTCAATATTCTGGAAGACTTTCATCTCTCTATGCACTTCCAGTATGCGTTCATTTTTGAGTGCACATGCATGGAGTGCATGAACAGGTACATGTCATTGCATATGTGCATTAATTCACGCATGTGCATATATGCATGCTCGCCTAGCTAGGAGACAGAGAGAGAGAGAGAGAGCTAATCTGGTCAACCATTTCTTGGTAACCGTGGTAATCCCAGATAACGTTGCACTCACCTGTACTGGTAGGTGTACATGTCGGTGACAGAAACACGTCATCCAAGGTGTCCATCCAGTGCAGGCCAGCCATGTCAGACATGACGGCTAGATATACTACAACCCAGTGAACTGAATGTCCCCACAGATATCAAACATAGATGAATGTCATTTATATGTGACACATTTATATGTCAAACAGAAACCCCTTTCCCTCTCTTCCACATGCAGTGACCTCACACTCAATTTGAGATCATATCACTGATTATATATTCCACAATAAGCAGGCAAAGTGCCTCTTTGGTACGTAAGTTATTTTCATATATAATGTCTTCTTCAAGAGAAAAATGGTACGCGTCTGTTTCTTTCAAATACAAATCTGGCTGTTCACTGCAAATCTTTTCACTTTATAGACCAGGAACTCCGACACCTCAACGAGTCCATCAGAAGCTCAGATGCTCCTTCTGTGACAACTCGAATCCTAACAACTGCGTGTTTAAGTCTAATTGAAAGATGCCGTCTCACAAATCAGCAGGAATCCTTGCAGACCAGGAAAATTCCAGACACCAAATCCTGTAACCATCCCTGTACTCAGCAAGAACCTAGCTTTCAATTACTAATATTTCCTTCTACTCCGTCAGGCACCAAAAGACCTGATTATTATTTGATGAAATCATATAAGAGCAATGGTCCATGTATATTATATACAACTATAACACGAAGCCAATGATCCGGATAATTAAAAAGCTGAGAGTCCCACTATGCTTATGGCGCTTGCAGTAAATCCCTTCCAAAGTCAACGTGCCATGAATTCAGACGCATGCTGAACACAGATCCAATCCTATCAAACTCCACGACTCTTCAATCAGGCTGCTGAGCTCGTAGAAAATCCCTCCTAAAAGACCCCCTCTGTACCGAACAACACACAGCACCCCCGTCTCTCTGCACCTCTCTCTCTTGTTGTGGTATTTACTCTAGCATTCATAGGGGTCTGATATAACAATGAAAGGTTACTCAAATACCCAACTGGTCTGAATAACAGTTTGTGTCAACGCCAGTTTATTGCTGAAATAAAATAAATAATGCCTCCATTTGTGTGTGTGGCCAGTAATGGAATGCCACTAGTGATAGTTTCGGCTATTGAAGAGGGAGGGGGAGTGGGCTATTGAAGTGCTCGAGCACTTGGTGTTTAACTAAGCCACACAGATTCAAGAAATCAGAACAAGATAATTCAGCAAGAATCCATGATGACTGTTTCACTTACATGATGTATATAATTATTTTCTAATATTACTAGATATTCATGTTTGCCTTAAAAATAGATTTGCCATAGCTCTGCATTGCATCCTATTTCAACTTATGTATATCACAACTGGTGTTGTCCTAGCTATCCACATTCCAAATCAACGTTTGCATCATTCGGAGATATATCTTCCTTACTGACTTCTTGACTTTTCATTTCTTTCTTCCATATAACAAGACTAGGATACTAAATTAATGTCAACATTTGCAGGAAATAAACACCTCGATCTGCAGATACTACAGAAAATACAGGTGAAAATTTAACCCGACACTTCATCACAAGCACACATACACACATGTGCATGCGCTCACACACAAGCACATTTGCCAACCTCCAATTTAAAAAAGAAATGTCTACATACGAATTCTTATGGCGAACTCAGAACAGCAGAAATCTGCCATCTGGCAATAAAAAAAAGCACATGCAGCTGAGCTTTCATATAGCTCCTTGCATGACAATACCATACACTACCTGAGGAGTACAGAACTCAGATTAATTATATACTCAGTGTTTCAGTACTAATCTGCACACAGTGACACCAATTTATACAGCCAGAAATATTACCCTTAGGCTACAATGTAAAATGTTACAAAAAAACATGTACTTACATGTACTCAATATAATTACAATCAATATGTCAGGTGTAATAATAATATAAACATGACATTACTCAAAATGCTTCAAACTTGAACGTATTATCTTACAAAATCTTATAAAATATATAATAACATCTGTAAAAAATGTGAGTCTGTCCTAAATAATACATAGAATGCACATCAATGCATATTTTCAGTTGGCAACTCTGTAGTTGCAACATGATCCATTTTTGTTAAGGGCTACTGTCGGACAATTAATCTGTCATATATAAAACTAAAACGACTTGTCTTCTTTTACCAAATGTCACCCATTAAACTTTATTTTCATATATACATGGACCAGATTGGTTAGCTATGATTATGACATTTTTTTTTTTTTTTTTTTTTTTTTTTTTTGCTGCATGAAGATTTCTGATGAGAGAGAAAATCCAAAATGGCAAGTACTACAAATGACACTCATGTTGAGCTAAAGAGCCAAAGAGAAACCCAATTATGTTTTGACAGCTAAAAAAAACATGTCATCCAATCCTGCTATTTTTCCTCCAAGTTATTTCATACCATTCACAATGGATCTCTACATCAAGACCTCTAGCTGGTAACAGCTAGTCCCTGAAGCATGTTTAAGGTACATACCATTCTTTTCTTTGCCGTCCTTTGACCTTTTTACTAGTGACCTCTGACCATAGTAGTATAGAGACAGTATGACCCTTCCCCTGATTGGTACAAAGCCAGGGGGGCAACTGTCAAACTATAATGTACACGTACTACCATTCAAGACCTCTTTACTCACCTGTCCTGAGCACCCTTACAGAGATTTAGAGTTCACAACTGTAAATACATACAAGGTATTCTATTTGAGATTTTCCCACCAAATTTAATTTACCTCAGAAGAAAAAAATTCCTTCTGTTGACCACTGTAATCACTGATGCCCCCATCCCTACACAAGGTTTTAAAGTTTTACACCATTCAATATCTGTCCAACTACAGAAAGACTCATAGGACTGCCATGATATCTTTAACTTCCCTGACATTAGCTGGAGCGAATTTAGAGTAAAATTAAGCAAACTAGAATTAAAAGCACCCAGAGATTGCAGACCTATGCCAAGGCAGCTCAATTCTCCTGA